TATATATATATGTGTGTAATATGAAAGCCTATGCGAAAATAGTAATTAATATTATTTCTGTATAAAGATTTAAAAAAATGAAAATCTTTAGCACAAAACTAGGTGATGACCCAATGTAAATAGAGCATATTTTCAATGCGTCTGGAAAAGTATGTTTTGTAATATAAGGATTGCAAAGAAAAATAAAACTATTCGACAATTCCGTCTTTCTATTTATAAATAAGAAAAGGAAGATATGTTTTTAAATCTATATATTTTTTGAAAATAATAATTAAAACTTTAGCACAAGGCTAATGAGATATTTCTATATATTTTTGTTGAAGACTATAATTTCGATTAATTCTAAATAACATTACAATAATCAGAGATTTATGTTAAGTTACACTTTTTCATATTCTAATTCAAATTTGATTGATTTTTTTTTAATGTCTGAGCAGTATCACTAGACATAAAATATCTCTTCTTAAGGCTTCAACCCCTGGGTTGCGTTCAGAAATTACGCCTAGGTAACTCTGAAGTGCACCTCAGACATTCAGAAACTTCAGGTATAATTTACCCAAAGCGTTCAGAAATAGCGATTTAGATCACTTTAAGATCATTATCGTCAACTTTTCAATTGGGTAAAAGTCACCCCGCATGCGCACATTTCGCATTATAAAATCACGTGCCTGATGAAAGTAAGGTTAAGTTACTAAATATATAATTGACTTCTAGAACAAATACGATCTCTTTTTCGTGATTGTAACAGCAATCTTATTTTCTAATGATCTTAATCTTATTTTCATGCCTTTTCTCAATCTTCATCGATGTTTACCAGTCATCCAATTGCATCACCTAATGCGTTCAGAAACTCCTTCGTCTAGATCACTCTGGGGTACATCCAGAGTTTATCTCACCCTACCAGATTTCTGTAATGTTAGTTCGGATCTACAAAAAATGTTTTAAGAAGTGATTTATTTGCACACTGTAGCAGTTGCACACTACCAGTCAGCGACTTCTGGGTAGAGAGTTTTTTTATATTTTTCTAGCGCAGTGATTGACTCATGTGCAATATATTGCTATATATCATTGCTATATATTTCGTTTTAAGCTTTAAGTCATAAGAAACTGACCAACTAATAATTGAAGGAGAGAATCATTAATTAATCCTCCGTTCTTTATAGTTTAAGGTTTAAAAATCTATTGTAGATCCGGGATAATGCAAGTCCGGATCTACAATAGGGCTAGGTCTTATGCAGTCGTTATGTCTCACAATGACAGTTGCACAGATATTTTACATAGTAAAAAAGCTGTGAAACTGTTGTTATAAACAACATAACAAGTTATTCCGGATTTACAATAGATTTTTAAGCCTAAGCCATAAGAAATGGAATCATAGTCAATTATTCTCCTCACATTCGATTGTAATTAGTCAATTTCGTATGGCTTAAGGCTTAAACATTTACTGTAGATCCGGACTTAGGGCATTCCACACAAACTTGCATAGCCGCATAAACATACGCATAAAGAAAATCATCCAATCGTATTTTACGTTTGCTTTATGACAGAAATGTGATTGAATAATTTTCCTTATGTATATGATTATGCGACCATGAAAATTTGTGTGGAATGACCCTTAAAGGGGCAGGATCCATGCTAGAAGTATTATCGTGTTCCAATATGCACTGCCAGTACTGAAAATTTATAGTTTACGTAACATATATTGTAAATTTTCAGTACTGGCAATCAATTTTGGAACACAGCCTTTATATCATAGTTATATCACAGTATAACTACAGTAGCGACAATAGCTATTGGCTTGTTTGATGTCGGTGGTCACCAATCATATGACTATCAGCTATGTTGAGGGTTTTACGGACCGCTGAATTTGAACGGCACCACGAGACATTGTACTATTTCGCATACAAAATATTTTTTAAATTTGAATAAATTCTATATATGATTTTAAATATATTACTGTATATATTAATATAGATCTATATTTTGTTTTTGATTTCAATATATTTCTGGAATCTATATGAACCAAATGATGAAATTATAAAACATGTGAATGATATTTGTAAACAATTTATTGACAATTTTAGATAGCACAATGTTTAAAATTGGGACATAAAAGTCTTTAAGATCTCTTTAAGTTTCGTTATGCCATAGCATAAATCTTTAAGACTTTTTATGTTTCAGTTTCGGACATGTATCAAATTTGTGCTGCTTAGAATACAGGATA